CAGGCGAACGCGCACTAGACACTCTCTTATAAGACACTGTCCCCCTGACACACGGAGAGTTGGATAACACACAAGGACACGCTAGTCCACTCCCAATGCCGGGGCTTGCCCCCGAGGCGGGACAAAGAGCGCGCTGGAGGTCAACCAGTGGCAACAGCCACCCGACACAGCTCCTCCGGGCTTTGTACACAATGAACCCTACTCCGGGTGAATTCCAGAATTATGCCCTTCTTATTTTGCTCTTCCTTGGGGATTTTAACAGGACGTAATTCGACGGTGACACACGTCAAATGTCATTGTTATAACACTAACGACGCTTGAACACGTCGTTATAACACCTTGACCTAAATTTGATTCAATTAACGGCTGACGATCGGCACCTCGTAGCTCAGGTGTTTAGAGCGTTGGGTATACTCAAGCCTTACCAGTGTTGTCGAATCCCACCGAATCCGCCGATTGCTTTACAGTTGGATTAAATCAGTCATGCGAAAACCACCAGGACACATTCAAGTTTCCCAACTATCGTTGCACGTGCTCGACCTCAGCTGAGGCTTTTTTGCTCAATCATCAGTCGCCTGAAGAGCTCAGGCGTGAGAGAGAGAGAGAGAGAGAGATAAGACAGCGAGATTGGTTCTGGGGAAATCAACATCGTGGTAACTCAGAGCTCTCCAACTACCATGACACGGTAACTATCACAGTTTCCACGGTTACCAGCTGACCGAGTTCATTTGGTTCTCTGGAACGAGGCTCGAGCTGTCAGAGTGCCTTCTTAATGCTTTTTCCAGAATAATCTCGATTGTGTGAGCCTCAAGACCCACTTGGATGAACCTTGCTGCATGCGAAACTATGGACCAGATCGTGTGTGGTACGCGTAGACGGGTTAATAAGATTTGCCAGCCACTGCGCCCTCACCCAAATATCAACACAGAAAGTCGATTGACTTCCGATGTGAGTCAACTACTACTACAGTAGCCGCCGAAGACCATGCAACGCTAATTATGAAATTTGCCTG